TGGGGAGCGAACATCCAGGCTTCTCAGTTAGGTCTGGAACCAGCTCCTGATGTTATATCGAGAACCTGCTGGGTGAGTGTTCCAGGGGCCCCATTCCCAAATCTACTGAGTCATCACCGCTGACTGTGGGGAAGAAAGGGCGGAGGTGGGGCCGCCCAGAATCTTGTGTAAGAACCTCGTGACCCATGGCTGTGGCAGAACCAAACAGCCAGCAGGCTTCTCGCTGGGGCTTGGCTGGGTTCATTCGCCCAGTTGGTGAGGAACAGAGCTCGTGTTCCAGTCAGTTGTGACCAACTTCAAGGCCAGACTCCAAGCCGGTGTGCACCAGCCGAGTGCGACTAGACAGCACCCTCTGAGCAACGGGTGGGGTTGCATCTCCATCTTGGTAGCAATCCTCTTAATGGAAGAATGTTCATAACCCTGAAAATCTTTATAGACACTTCTTTGTATCTTTCATATTTCCCGTCCAGGCGAAGCCAACACTTAATGCCACACGAAATTGAAATTTATGGAATTCAAAAAAAGAATAAAAATTGCAAAATGATACGGTGTCATGTTCATAATCCAGAGATAATTTATAGTCATGACGCCTCCTTTTATTGGAAGAATTGGGAATGCTTTTATGAGAATTAATTAGTTTAGGTTTGTAATTTCATGCTTGAAGTAGGCTGCAAAAGTACCCATGTGATCCAGGTTGCTGGAGGGGGAGCAGGGTGAGGGAGAAGGATTCATTATTAGGTTTATAGCTTGAAATCTGAGGCGGAACAATGCCATTTCTCACAGAAAATATTTAAATACTTAACAATCCGTAGCCACATAGCCAAATTTCCTTGGGGATGAATATTTCAGAGGAATGGCAATCAGGACAAAGAGGTAAAAATAAAAGACTCATTTTTTTTCCTTTCTAAAATTGTTTTGTTTTTTTCCTGAGCTGCTGCTTTTACGAGCCGTGTGGGAAAGGCACATAGGGTCACACTTCAGCGCACCGAGACTCTCCACGACTTCAGAGGCAATTATACGTTCCCGGAATTCTGCGGCAGGTGAGAGCTGCGGGTCGTACTGAACTTGCGTTCATTGTTCCTAATTAAGTGCCCTCCAGAATCTTCTAGGAGGCCTTCGGGTTGACCCTTCGCCCATGTCTTCTTGTTTCTTTTCTTTTCTTCCCTTCCGTCCCCTCCCCTCCTCTTTTCTTTCTAATGGCTGTACTGGGGATTGAACCCAGCATCTGTGCATGCTGGGCATGCGCTCTACCGCTGAGCGCTACCCTCCCCCCTTGCCCACGTGTTCTTACTGCTCGTGGGTGCAACCCGGAGCTCACAGAGCCGGGCCGGTGGGACCTGTTGGGGAAATATAATATTAAAAACAAATCTCCTACCAACCCAGAAAACCTTCTCCACAAAGGTAGGAGAGAAAGAAAACAGTTTTATTACTGAATAAGCGTTAAACAAGAATGCGATGTGTGCATCGCAGGCAGTCAGCTAAGAGACCGCTAAGACAGCGGGGAATCTCAGCCGCGCAGACGCAGCCCCTTACTGTACGAGGTAATGACTAGTCGTCACGCCGCAGGACTTGAAGGCGCCCTTTGTCACACAGAGGTCATCCTGTATTGGCCTGGTAATTGGGGTCACCATCTGTGTTAGCTAATTGGCTTTAACCTAAAGAAAAACAAACTTTTGTCTTTATGACGGGAGGTAGTTTTGCAACTTGGAGGGAGGCTCCCACCTTCCCTCAGAGATGGGAGACAGGGTCCTGTCTCCCTTGACGATGGCATTTCAAAGGGATGGCTCCCAGGTCCTTGAGAAAGACATTCCTGAGTCCTAAAGCTGGCAAGAGGCTGATTGAGCTTTTTAAAAGATTTACATACGTTTCAAAGCGACAGAGGGAAGGAATTAGAGTTATGTTTTCTAAAATGACTGCTCTAAGAAGAGGGAGGGAGGAGAAACCTCTTCCCTTCTTTTCAACAGGGAGAGTTAAGCCTCTTATTTTTAGTTTGTATTTGCCCTTTCTGCCCCAAGAGATGGCAGCAGAGGTTGACGCCTCCACCTCCGCTCACTCAGGGACTCTTCCATCTTCACCCGAGTGCAGCCTAAACAGCCCCCTCCTTCCTCGACCCACCTGCATCTGTCTGTCTGCGGGGCTGGGTCTTAGGCGGAAGGGAGCGGCGCCCCACCGCCCACCGTGTTGCGCTGCGTCATGTGGGTTCTGAGGAAAGTACGAGGTGACCTCACCTCCCCACCTGACCTTGAGTTCTAAAGCCTCAAGGACCAGAAGGCAGGCAAGGTCCCGGCTCACCGGGGACCTTGCTGGGGGTGGGGCCCTGGACGCAGCTGCCCCCAGCCCTGGAGGGAGGAGGCGAGTGTGGAGATCTATGAGGACCCACAAGTGAAACCCCCAAACGCAGCAGGACCAGACCAAAACCCAGCTCCTCCGGTTCTTACTTTCACCAAAGGGATTGCTTCTGAGCAAGACGGGAAAGAGAAACGTCTTAAAAATCAATGAGTCAGAAACTGAGAAATTCAACTCCATATGCAAAGGGGTAATCAGTTCTCCAACGTGGAACAAATCTGACTGTATACAGTGTTCACAGAAGGAAAAAAACGGGTTCGTTTATATACAAGAAGGAGATAGACAAGTGCCGCTCTGCATTGACAGCCATGTCCTCCCTGGCACCTCCGCACCCTCTCACTCCCTCTCATGAGTTAACAGGAAGCTGATGGATCTGAAACTGTGGGGGAATTGGAAAATACTTCTCCAGTTAGGAGAGCACCTTTTAAAAATCAAAATAAAACTGAAGGCACGATTTGTTTTTTCCTAAGGCCCCCGTGCTGGAGCTCTGTGATATAACTACGTGTGTACACGTGTGGGTCCATGTATGCATATCTCTGAGCAGAAGAGCAGGAGGGAAGCCCTCCATCTGCCCCACCCTGTCCCCGGTGGGCTCTGGCCTGCCTCGGAGGGGGAGGCAAAGGCTGAGGCGGTCCTCCTGGCCACTGAGTGCCCTGCCCTGTGTTTGGCAGTGGCCAGGGTGGTGGAATTCCCAGAAGCACCAGTGTTGACCTGTTGCCTCTCTTGCTCCCGACAGGCAAGACTAGCTCCCCCGTGGTTTTCAGGGAAGATTCTAAAAGAGGACGGTGATCCACCCTCCCTCCAGAGCCTAGAGTGAGAGCAGAAGGAGGGATGGGAGCCCTGGAGAGGGCAAGGCCAGACCACTGCCTGGGCACCGCGAAGCATCCTCGTCTCCTCCCAGGCACTGGCTCTGGGCTCTGCACCTGCTCTCACTGGTGGTCTTGGGGGGCTCAGCCTTTCCCAGAGCCCTGGCGGGGGTGGGGTCCCGCACCTGCACCACACCCACCTGTGGCAGCCCCTCCACACTCTCCTCTCGGGCACTTCTTGGCCCTGTGTCCCCGCTTCACACCCCTCTCTCCTACACAGACTGAAAGTCAGGTACTTCTGAGCATGATGTAGTCTAGAAAGAGTGTGTATGACTTTTTGCTGTTGTTTTTACAGCAGAGGATGCCCAAAGTGTAGGTTTGTGCTGCCATTTTGATTCCAAAGCCAATGCACCTCTTGGTGTTCTCATGTCTTGGACATGTTTATTCTGGACATTTCAGAGGACCTGGGGACTCCCTGCCCTCATTGACTTGAACTTGACATGGTTCTTAGGACATTTTGCTTTGCTGTCCTTCTTCCCAAATCTTATCTGAGGATGATGATGAAAGGAGACTCCCTGAGGATAATTAAGACTGAGCACATCTGCCTTCCAGGATCTGGGGCTGTCAGCTCACACTCAGAGCTACCCGCTGCCTTCCTGGTCCACTTTGT